CGTGTACGGTTGCCTTGGAGCAGGAGCTGGAACAAGGTGTGCACGAGCTCATGACAGACCGCCTCCCCTGCTTGCCAGCCCCAGGCTGTATCGATGGCCCCCGTTCTTAGTTAAGGGTCGCTATGAGCTGCAACTGTGTCAAAGACTTAGGATAATTGTTTCTAAGAGCCGGCCGACATCGCCTTCAGTTTCCATGCTTCCTGGGCACCGGGGCAGAACAGGCAGGGCCTGGTGCGGAGAAACGCCCGCTGCTCATGACTTGAAATGCACTCTTTTCCGCAGGCGCTAACACTGTAGACAGTTGTACACCACTTCCTCAGTCCTTAATTGCCGTCCAGCACGTGGACATAAATCTGCGTGCGAACATCGAACAGACCATGCTATACCTGCTCCGCTTTATGTCTCCGTCTCACCTGCATGCTGGAAGATAACTTTTAGCTAAACCTTGTTCGTTCGGTTGCAGCTTAGGACTCTCCTCGGCTAAGGGTGAGGGCTCTCGCTCATGAACTGACCCCAGTCGAGTACAACTCCAAAAACGTGGGACTGTAGAGCGTGCAGCAAGCAAACGAAACAAAGTACCATTTTTGTCAACGTTCAAATGTCCGTTATTTACAATTTGTGTCTGTCATGTACACGCTTTCTTCAGGCTGTGGTTTCTGCCTCTGCTATCTTTCATACTTTTGCTTCTACCCAGTTAATTGAAATTAACACGACTGCTTCCTGCAAACCTACCCAAATTCGTTTCAGATGTTATGTTTTTCACAGTAAAAGTAGTTCTTCTCAGAGCACAGGGAAATGCAGGGGGAGTAGAAGTTCAGGCGTTGAATGCCGCTATGGAGTTGCATCATGTGAATGCTTAGCTAATACTAACACACCGAGAAACAGGTGCAGATGCACTTGAATTTAGTGCTCTCATTGAACTGTTTGGGCAAAGGAAATGGTGCTGAATATTGAGTAAATGGAATCTGAGGTGCAAAGAAGTGTACAAGTTAGCTGAACAACGAAACAAGTACTGAAGTTTAGCGAATGCAATCATACACAAAATTGTTCTAACACTGTCATTCCGGGCGCTCATTGCGAACTCTTCCTTAAGGAGCAAGCTTGTTTGGGGGGTTGTAACGAGTCACCAGATCTCGGAAGGAAGCACAGAACAACTGCCTGCATGGCACTAGGGCGAAATTTATGAGCAACCCTGAGCTAGCTGGCTTTCATGTGATGACATAAAATTCAAATTTGTGTAACAGCCGCCTGAATTACTCCCCACTGGTTCGACTGCCTTGCATTTTGCAGAGCGTGAGGCGCTGCAGACTGCCACCAGCTGGCTAATAAATTATTTAACCCATCTAGCGGCACCTCGGCACTAGGCCAGTAAGCAACATTTGCCAGTGTGCCTGCCGCCTGACGAGCTGCAGAGGCACTGAACCTTCTTGGATCCTGCATTGCGCTCTTGCTCAGTAACGATCGTAGTGGGAGCCCATATGCTGTTATTTGCGTGATCGTTTTTTCTACAACCATCATCACTGCCGTACGAGCACGGCAGACATCTCGGCAAGTTTGCTTAAAATGAAGAGGAAGTTTCCAAAGCGCTCCCTTCCGAACCTCCAAGCAGGAAGAAATGTCCAACGCAACTATCACGATCGTTTGATGCGCTGCGTGAAGTGCATATAGTTTACTCCCTTTGCACGTATTAAGACTCTAAATCTAGATTCAGCGTCTTTGCCTCTCTGCGTGAACCGATTTAAGCGCCATTTCATCCTCCTTCACGCACGTCCAGAAAGAATTGAGCCAAGCCTTCCGCTCACATCTGCGCACCTGCTGTTTGCATCTAGTGGCGCTAACTGCCGGTTTGTCAATTCGCTCTTTCCGCTGGTCTTGCAAGGCAAGCAGCGATACAAAGAGATACTGGTTGTAGAGGAGTTACCGAAGGTGGCCTCAGCCCGCAACGCGCCTGCCACGTCATTGTTAAAGCACTGTTCAACAAGACTTCGGAATGTGAAATTAGCGTTGGAGCGGGCGTTTCCCGATCGAACCTACTCAGGGGCGCATATCTGTCTGCATCTTGTTTGTCTTATTCTGCCTCTCTTTGGTCTGTTTTGGCTGCCTGCTCAAGAGCATAAAACTGTATGCGCCTGTGTTTTTTTCGCGCAACGCACGGGAACGGCTACTGCAAAGTTAGTGGATAACTTTAAAAACGGTAAGGTTGAATCCGGAGAAGGTAGAGGCGAACCAG